GAGCGAAACACTACAAAATAAAAGTATGGCCACTAAGACCTTCACTGACTCCTGATTTTAGTAATGTCGTAAAGCAGTCTCTTGTAGATCCTGCCGAAATTCTTCTACCTTCTCTGCATATCAAATTAGGATTGATGAAGTAATTTGTGAAAGCTCTTGATAAAGAAGGATGCTGTTTTAAAAACTTGGAGAAAGTCTTTAAAAATGTATTTTGGGTTACATAAAAGGGAGGAATCTTTGATGGGCTTTAAATTCGAAAAATGTTTAGAGACCAAGAGTTTGTGAAAAGTATAAATGTTACTGGTAAGGCTGCCTGGTTAAGCTTGAAAGATGTAGCAACAAAATTTTTAGGGAATAATAAAGATGATAACTATAAAAACCTTGTTAAGAGTATGAGTGTAAACTTTAGAAACTTATGTTGCTTAATGAATCTCCAACTTCACTTCCTCGATTCCCACATTGATAAATTTCTGAAAAATCTTAGAGATTTTAGTGAAAAGCAAAGTGAAAGATTTTATCAAGATATAAATGAATTTGAATGTAGGTGGCAAGGAAATTGAAACATTAATATGATAGCAGACTATCACTGGATGTTAAAAAAAGATGCACGACGTATTAAAAAATGATGACGTATTAAGAAGTCCTTTACATAAATCATTCGACGACAAATGCATACATCATCAAATTTAGTTATTGTTAGCAAGAATGTTTCTACCTGAAGCTGTGACAACTAAAAAACTTAGTTTCTGGCAGTCTATTGAGGATATTCGTGACATTCGATCGTCAAATCGCCTCTTTAATGTCATATTTGGATATCGAGGGTCAAAATTCATTCTACCAGACTATTATCGATGAGATAAACATTTTTTAATTTTTTTTAAAGCTATCACCACTAAAAAATATAGTTTCTGGCAGTTGTTTGAGGTTATGTGTGAAATCAGCTGGTGAAGTATTCTTTTTTAATCGTTCTATCAGAGGTTGTAGGTCAACATATAAATAAGAAGGGTACACTCCGTAAGAAAGGCATTTTTTCTTTTTTAAAGCTATGGGCACTAAAAAATATTTTTTCAGGGAGTTTTTTCAAGTCATGTGTGGAGTTTACAAGTCAAATTTTCTTTTCTAATGCCATTTTCAGAATGTGCAGGTCAAACTATATTGAACAAGGGTCTTATGAATATAAATGGATCATTAGTTTACTTTTCTGATGTGGATTCAATAAAAAAGCGTGTTTCTGGCAGTTTTTAGAGGTTATATGTAAAATTTGTTGGTCTAATCACCTTTTAAATAACATACTTAGATTTTGCTTGTCAATTTGCATTGAAATAGGGTACTTTCAGAACAATTGAAATCAATTTTTTTCTATTGTAGATCTCTAAGTAGTAAAAAACGACGTTTTTCACTGTTTTTTGAGGTTATCTCTAAATTTGTCTGAGGGACCCCTATTTCTTATGCCAGATTTGGACTTAGCGGCTCAAAATATCTAAGGATATGTTGTTTTTAACTCCAGAACCAAACACTTTTTTTTGTAGGCCTGCACTGAGAGAACATCGGTGACGCTACAGTCCCGACCGGAACGGTTACGATACATTGCTTTGGTTCTGCAGCACCCTCGCAGCTTGGGAGAGCTGCTTTCCCGTTTAGGACCGTACTGTTCCCAAAAGTAGGGCAGCAATGATACCAGTATGTTAGGTTAGATACCCCACCAACTACAGAACAGCAGACACACTTCTTATTTCGTGCGAGAGAACAACCATACTGTCCGCTTAAAATTCGCACTGTAAACACGCGCTATAACGGTAATCGATATAATAGTACCATGCAGATAAGAGTTTCCAATAACCATGACAACAATGACAGAATCAATTAGAGGTTGAAAACTGCTTTAAAAGTTTTGACATATAGTTTCCTCATTTAAATAAATAATAAATTTCTTTGATATGTAAATATAACATGTATTTGAATCATACTGAATTATTATAAGTTCATGATTTAATTATTTTGTTTTTATAAAAAATACTTGTTTTATTGTTAAATCAAAATAAGTGAAGAAAATCCTAATATATGTGTAATAAAATACTCATACACATCTTCAATAATTCACAACATTTATTAAAAATTTCAAAAAAGTGTTGAGCAGTATTACCGTCATTGGAGCTATCGAAATCTGGTTTTGGCTTATTAACAATCAGACCTTACAGAATTTTTAAACTTTTCTGTATAAGTGTTTCCTACTAGTTCTCTTAATCTTTATTCTGTTTTTTACGGGCCTTTCACTTTTTACTGCATTGCAAATCTTACCATAAATCATTGTTAAACTTAACTGATATTGTACACACACCATTTTAGCATTTATCATTGTTTTAAAAGACACTAGTTCAGTTATTTGATTTTCAATACAATCTGTTTGGGCTTTTGTTCAATCTATAGTTTCAGCTGCTAATTCAATTTTAATTGGTCGGAAAATTTGAGTTAGTGATGGTCTTGAATTTTTCCGAACAATAGTAGTTTTTTTTCTGTTAAAGGGTCAATGTAAGCTAGCTGTAATGGCACTAAGGATAAGAAAAAACTTTTTTCGTCTGAAACATCATCTCTATCAGTGAACATTTGTTGATACTCGCTTTGACCTTAACTTCCGTTTCAACTTCACTTACAAATCAAAATTATACTTTTCAATTGTTCTGCTGGTAAGCTGTTGATAACTTCAAGTTAATATGACACAATACGATCAATAGTGTAATCTAGTAGAAACTGCAATTTTACTTCAGCACTTTGATCAGTAATATTTATTGTCGATGGATAACAATCGTTTTTAGCCTTTGATAATATTTTATATGAAGGAAAAAGTTTTGAATTTTTTTTCGCATGTAAGCATTGCATAAATTTTGGTGCTTGTTTTTAGAGAAATCTAATTTAACCAAAACGGATAAAGCCTATAAGTATAAGTAAAACTATAAGCAAAATATTTTTCACCCAAAAGATGCATGATATTAAGTAACCTTAGTTGGAAATCCAAGTGTATCGTCTTAAACTACTTTTGCTGCATCAATTCTGCCACCAGATCTCCATTTCATCTGTGCTGCATACGATAATTCATCGGTGGAAACTTCTACACGTAACTGTTCTGTTTCTCAACTTTCAGAAGCAGTGTGAAAATCTAGTTGTGTTCTGCCACATTTTTCAACTGTAATATTTGTACCATCTTCAATTTTATCACTAAAAAACAGATAACTTTAACCGTGCCTTGTTATGTAACATAGACCTAATTACCGTTCTACTACTATTCTTCCACTTTTCTTGCATGTGAAAAATTAATTTTCGTAATATTTTTTTAAAATCATCTGCTAATAAAAATGACGAAGTTTTTTAGATAAAAAGTCTTCGAATTTTAAATAAGTATCTATAACTTTTCCGTTCAGTTTATTTTTTATCTATTATAAAACATCGATATTTAATGCTTATTTTTTCTGATCGAAGTATTATCAATCTAATTTTTACTTTTTTTTATGCCTTACTTAAGATTTGTTTAAAATAAAAAGTAGAAAAACAATGATTGCATATGTAACAATTCTTAAAAATACACAAAAATGCGCGCGCGTGTGCGCGTTTGTGTGTGTGGTTCACATATTTCTTTAAATATTTTATACATGTATTTTATGCATTATTTTTTTATGTGTTCGTCCAAGTGCACAAACTGACAGAGATAGATTAGATTTGATTAAATTTATTTATTTAACAGACTAAGGACTCAGAGACGTGCTCAGTAGTCCTGTATAGCCTAAGCCGTATGTACATTAAAACATCACAAAGAGGCTACTGAATATCAGTGCCCAATAATACTATCACAAACATTACATTATNGTTGTTGCGTTATCCGAATAAAGTTTCTTGCAAACCCCTCTACGAGCGCAGAACCGTGCATAGGCTGCAAGAAAAGCATCTGTGGATAAATCCGAAACAATTTCAATGTGTACAGCTCGCGTAAATAAGCAAACAAATATTGCGACGTAGCCTTTTGTAGATTTTGCCCCTCGGCCTCAGGAAAACAGCACAGGGATGGGCCCTGCGTAATCCAGTCCGGTAACGGCAAATGCACGAGACGACGTCGTTCGGTCAGCAGGCAAGGGGCCCATCTGCTGGGCAGAGCATCTGCCATCAAATCTTGTGCAGCGGACGCATCGCCTGTAGACTCCTGCTGCTACGGCTGGGCCTCGAGTGATCCAGAGCGAGCGGTAGATAGGGGACAACATAAGTTGTGCGCCACCATGAAGCGTTAACTTGTGCACTTCTTCGACGAGTCGTTTGACCAGAATGCATCCCCCTGGTAGATCAATTGGATGCTTCTCGTTGTAAGGTATTGGCGAATAATGTAGTCGACCTCCCACTCGGATCAAACCCCGTTCGCAGATAAAAGGACTGAGACGAGCCAGTGGACTACGCTTAGAAAGCGGCTTATTCGCTAGCAATTGCTTTCGTTCCTCCTTGTAATGTTGTTGCTGGATGGCTCTGTAACAAAAATTTTGGGCAAGAGCCCTCTCCCGTAGTGAGATGAATTTGTTACTTTCTCGTGGCTCATCATCTGGTTTTCAAAGCCAGCGCCCACAGTAGCCCAAGATGCGCAGTATTTTCTCAAAATCAGAAAACTTTTGCAGCGACGGCAAACAGCTGCAACCTGCGACCAAACTGGCTTCCTCGTCATTTCTCTCCATGGCTGCAAGAGCATGCGTCTCCTCAAAGGCTTGAGCGCTCAAAGGGACGGATGACGGCCAGGCTGCTTCTATTAGCGGAAGCCAAGCGGGTCCGTGCCACCAGAGCCGAAATGTAGCAAGGTCTGCGGGACTAAGACCTCGCGTTGCACAGCCCGCAGCGTTGTCAGCAGATTTCACATGCCTCCAAATAGCTGATGGAATCCGAGTGATGATCTCGCTTGTGCGGTTGGCAATAAAGGTTTGCCACCTGGACGGGTGATCCTTCAACCACTCCAGTACAACTCGTGAGTCTGACTAGCAGTGGTTCGCTGTCGGTGGACGATGCAATGAATTGAGGAGATATGACGTCAGTCGAGATAGCAGTGTAGCAGCACAGAGCTCCAGCCTTGGCAGCGACTGCACCTTCGTAGGCGCGACCTTGGTTTTCGCTACAAGCAGCATAGGCGTAGACCCAGGCACCACTAAGTAAACTGCTGCAGCATAAGCTCTTTGTGAGGCATCGGCGAATCCATGCAGCTGCCAGTCGTCATTCTCCTTTATGTTTATCCACCTTAGAATTCGGATCCTTGGTACGTCTGAAAGATTGGCTCGGAATTGCAACCATCGAGCTTGCAGAGACTGTGTTGTAGGCGCGTCCCAGTCCACCTTATCGATCCACAAATCTTGCATAATGATTTTGGCAACGACAATCATTGGTGCTAGCCATCCTAGAGGGTCGAACAAACGAGCAATATCAGACAAGATTAAGCGTTTTGTTACTTCGCATGGTGAGTGCGTTTCGGTGACCGAAAACATGAATTTATTTTCTTGGGGGAGCCACTTAAGGCCAAGAGAAGATATTACCTCGTCTGCTTTTACATTCACCACACCCGTAGACGTTGAAATTAAACCTGATAGCAGCTGTGGTTTATTCGCTGCCCATTTGCTAAGGGCCATACCAGCAGTCCCTAACAGAACAATCAGCTGGTCACGTCGTCGCAGCGCCTCTTCAACCGTGTCTGCTCCGGTGAAGAGATCATCAACATAGAGCGTATGTTGCAGGATTGCAGTGGCATCTGGATAGTCGGCAGCTCCATCGATGGCCAGCTGCTTCATCACGCGAAGAGCTAAAAATGGAGCCGACGCAGTGCCGTACGTCGCCGTGGTACATCTGTAGTCCTTCGACGGCTGATTGCTATCCTTTCGCCAGAGAATTCGCTGCCAATCCGCATCTTTGGGATGTACCAGTATTTGCCTAATCATCTGGATAACGTCAGTAGTAAACACATATCTAAATTGCCTCCAAAGTGTTAAGACTATTGCGATATCGGTCCGCAACTTTGGGCCAGGCAAGAGCAAATCATTAAGGGCGATCCCATTGCGAGATTTTTGCGACGCGTTGAAGACTACGCGGATTTTTTCTATATTGTCGGGCTTTACTACTGCATGATGAGGCATATAAAAACTGGGCCTGTTGATTTGCGATACCGGAACAGACTACATGTGTTGCAGCTCAATATACTCGCACATGAAAGCCTTGTAGCGCTCAGCAAGTTGAGAATTGTGCTGCAGTTGCCGCTCAGAGCGAGCCAGACACGCTGCAGCAATATCACGAGAGCCAAGAAAATTGGGTCTCTTAGCGAAAGGTAGACGAACTACAAAACGACCATTTTCATTGCGAGAATACGAATTTGCGAAAAGCTCCTCACACTTTTCTTCGTCAGCGGTCAACAAGGACTTACGAGGAACTTCTTCTATCTCCCAAAATCTTGAGACAAGTTGAGATAGCGAAGGTTCCGTGTGCGTGTGAAACGCGCGAATCGACGAGCTTTGCGGATTACCAGAATCGATAGCTCCAGTTAGCAACCAACCGAATACCGATTGCTGAGCCAGTGGAGTACCTGCTAGACCCCTGACCAAACCTTCCATAATTAAAGCTGGATAAACATCAGCCCCTAAAATTACATCGATTTTTGCAGGATCAGTATAGTCTGGATCTGCTAGATCTAGGCCCTCGAGATGCGGCCAATTCCCTCGCGTGAGCTTTTGCTTTGGCAAGCACCTAGTAAGCTCATTAAGAACTAAAGCCGAAAAACCCATTGCAAAATTTTGTTTTTTGTTCGTCCTTAGGATACCGTGAGCAATAGAATAGCATCTAGAAGAAGTCTCTGCTCCGACACCGATCACCGAAAGCGAAGTTTTCTCGGAATCAAGCTTGAGAAAATTCACCGTGCGCTTTGAAATAAAGCATTTTTCTGCACAGGGATCGATTAATGCGCGAACTTCTAGAGATTTACCGGCCGAATTGGCAACTATAACGCGGGCCGTTGCCAGAAGTACTGTTGCTCCTACAGAGGCACTATGTGACGCGATTTCACCGCCCGAATCAGCAGAAGTAGCAGCAGCGCCAGTGACCTGTGTGGCATTATTATTATTATTCGATTTTGGAAAGCCACGATTGCTTGAATCCTGAATTTGAAAATTAGCCGGATGAAGCTTAGTATGATGCGCTGCCCGGCATGTAAAACACCGATGCTTTGAGGTGCATTTGTCAGCGAAATGCCCTTTCTTAAAACAATTAAGACAAAGTTTAGCCTTTTTGCAGAACTCTAAACGTTGAGAAGGCGTTTTAGCATTGAACTGACTACAATGATGCAGCCAGTGATTGTTTCTACAAAGATCGCATGAAGGGCCGGACTTCGAGTCTGTTGACTCAACAGTCTGGGCATTATTGGCTGTCACACGATTGGAAAAACGAGAAGCCGAATTATTCGCTTTCTTGCCACGCGGTTCACAGGTCTCGGTTGTAGTGCGTGCTTGCTCTAACGTTTGAATACGCTTCTCTAAAAAACGTAATAACACGTCATAACTTGAGAAACCGTCAACTGCACTCTGCGAAACCTCCCACGCCTCTCGAGAGTTTAAATCGAGCTTTCTAATAATGCAATGCACGAACCAGTTATCATAGTGCTCAATGGGGCAAGTCAGATCACGAAGCGCTCGAACAGCTTCCTCGACTTGGTCNGTTGTCTAGTGCTGTGATGACGAGCTCGAATTAAGTTTCGTCCGAGCAGATTTTTTTAAAACTGAAGGCCGACTCTGCTCACACGAACTACACCTTCGGGTTCCGCTTCCAGAAAGATGCTAAACGCGAGGGTGATCTCTTTCAGGATCGGTGTGTTGCAGCGTCCTCGAAATCTGTGTCGTCATCCATGAGCACCGGATTATCCTTCGGAGGCCTTTCCTCTCGTTTACCGTCACCAGATGTTGAGGACCCGTCTCCAGTTTTTCTGCCTGCACCTGTCATCGTCAGGTGTGACGAGTTGAGAATTTACAGGTACTGACAAAGAAAACGCTCGCTTTGTTGTTACCGGGTAGGCGTGCTTTACAAAGGAGACTTGAGATTTAGATTAGATTTAGATTTATTTATTTAACAGACTAAGGACTCAGAGACGTGCTCAGTGGTCCTGTATAGCCTAAGCCGTATGTACATTAAAACATTACGAAGAGGCTACTGAAAATTAATAAAAATGTAGTAAACAAGAAATAAAATCAGTAAAAGTAGTAATGAAAAGCGTAATTAAATAAATAGTACAACACAATAAGATTTTGTTACAATTAACAATTAACGCGAGTTGTCGAACATAAGCTGGTAGTATTTATAAATTTCACTCTTGAAACACGGGCGCTGGTATAATTCACGTATAGCAACTGGCAAACCATTCCGCACACTAGCGCTGCCAACAAAGAAAGAATCATGTAGAAACTTAAAGGGTGGCAGGAGGGATAAGCAGATCCAGGTGAGATGCCCGTTTTGTGCCAGGCACATCATGAGGTCTAAATTTAAATTTACACGATAGATACTGTGGCTGACCACTGTGCAAGATTGAAGCAAAGAATAAAAGCGTAAGATGTTTAACCCGAAGGGAATAGGGAAGCATATTCAATTTTTTGTAATCAGATGTGATGTGCTCGTGCTTGCGTGTTCCTGTTACGAAGCAGACAGCCGCATTCATACTCCTAGAAAGTTTTGTTTTAAGCTCCTTAGACAGTGGAAAAAACAAACCAGCACAGTAAGGCAATATAAGTATGGCAGTATAAGCGATTTGACCAAGGTAAGCTTACAATCTCGAGGAAGTGACTATCCGCATTTACGAAAGCGATACAGCGCAGAAGAACATTTATTTGAAGTAGTACAGCACTGCGCTTGAAAGCTCAATGTAGAATCAAGCACAATGCCTAGTATTTTTAGTGTATCAGAAGTTTGAACTATGAAATCATCAAGCAAAACGTCAGGTACATGGGTTTTCTGGAGTCTACTCATAAAATTACGTGAGCCTAACCATAAGGCACATGTTTTTTCCTTATTGATAAGTAGGCCATTAGAGAGAGCCCATAATAAAATATTATGTAAATCCTTATTAATCTTACGCACAATAGTCGCCAATTCATCAATCGAACCATGAAGATATATACAGCATAAAGATAATATGAGCAGTGCTTAGTTGCAGAACTAATGTCATTCATGTAAAGGGAAAAAAGCAGTGGGCCCAGCACCGAGCCCTGTGGCACCCCCGAGTGTCTATACAAAGGTTTAGAGCTTTCACCCTTCGACGAAATTACAACTTGAGACCTATCAGTGAGGTAAGATTCAACCCAGTTGCAGGCAGAGCTCTGTAACGGGGTCATTTTTCGTTCTGAGCCGGGAAAACACCAAAACTCGACCTTGTGTAAAAATTGATGTTTTAGGCGTTTAAATGTCCCGCGTACGCGTGTTAGTGTTCGTTATGTTTCATGTGAGGGAAGCGGAGAGGACGACGGAGACACAGAGCCAAGGGAACGAGCAAAGAGGTGCACGAGCCAGAAAGGCGACGAGAACCTTCCGAAGAAACGAGTAAGAAGGATAAGGAGTATAAGTGACATGCGTGTATGTTAATGTGAATTAGTGCCTTTAACAGTCTCTCAAAGACCATGTGTAAAGAAAAGCTTTCTAAAAGACGAGTATAAGTGTGTGTGTGTTTGGGCAGTGGAGACCGATGAGGCGCAAGAGAGCTTGGGGACCAGAGCCAAAGAGAAGCGATCTCGGGCACATAGGAGTGCGAGTGGGATGGGGGAGAGGTGAAAGGGAGAGGGGAGAGCCAAGGACGCTGGAGAGTCACTTTTTCGCTAGCTTCAAAGCTGAAGAGACAGTTTGCGCGCACCTCGCTTTCTTCGTAAGCCACAGAGCAAGTTATTCTCCAAGGTCGAGAAGCCAATCGATCGACTCCCGCCAAGGACGTCCTCGTTCAATCCCTCTCCTACGGCCGCTGATCCAGAAAAAGGGGGAGATGTCGCAGTTCGAGGTAGGATTTCGGGGTTGAGTGCCCCAGGGTGACAGTGAGTAAGTGGTAGAGAATAGTGCGCGAAAGGGTACGGGAAGGACGGGATGTAAGGACGATAACTAAGTGCAGACGAGAGCGAGAGGAGTGACTGGGAAGTTTGAAGGAACGGCCTGGGGACAATGGAGTGCGGGTATGTGCGGGAAGTGGGACTGGAGAGTAGAAAGGAGAGATGCATGGGTGAGGGGGAGCGGGTTCGAGTGCGGAAGCGAGAGAGTGAGGGAACGAGACCGGTGAATCGGACCGCCCGAAGTGACGACCCCAGTTCCAGGATGGGAGCCCAACGTGCCTGATCACCGCGCCCGTGGGCGTCCTGGGGGGGCCCGGGTCAGTCAAGAGCAGCCTTCGAAGTGAGTGGCCAATCGTGTGTGGGGAAGCGGAGTTCGTAAAGCGGGCTAATCTTGTGCGTGTGTGAAGCGGGATTTGTAAAGCAGCGTGTGCATAATTTCAAAGCGTCACCTGGGCCTCGACAGCCAGCGTGCGGCTGCCTGTCCGGCCCCAGGGCGCAATTCAACGAGTGTAGGGTGCTCTCGACGCTGGGATAATCCCAGGGTGACTCGCGGGTAGAGTTGCTACAGTACGATCGGGAATTCTCGTGGGCGAGCCGGATGTTCGTCACTTCGGCGCTGGTCCTCCGTTGGACTCCAGGAGTGCGAAGTTACGGGTGTGGGAGGATGGTGTGTACGTGGGGATGGGCAGGTGTGGTCATGAGAATGCGGATGGGGAGGGGGGCGTCGTTGGTCGGATGTGAAGGATGCCACGCGGCAAAACGGGTGTAGGTGAAAGGTGTGCGAGCCGAGTTGTGAGGGACGATTTAGTGACTAGCGTAACGACAGTTCTCCTTGACTTCATCTCCTGTAAATGAATAAATCGATGTTTAAGCTG